GCACAATCGATCGATAAGGATTAAGTCACTGCATGTGGACACCGGGCAGATCGAGAGAGAGAGAGAGGGTGTGTGTGTGCAAGTGAGAGCGAACGGACATGGGGGGGGAAGGAGGGGGGAGACGATCAGATATACTACTTTCGATTAAACGATGCGCGCTGGGAGACTAGAGTATGGGACCGTCCCGGGGGTGCCACCAGGATCCAGAGATTCGGTTGGGGCACACCTCCAGTTGCCTCTTGCACATCTTGGTTACTCAGTTACTCATGCTTTTTTGAAAAGGGTCCGTGTGGAAATCCCACTTTTCCAGTCGATTTCCCTCATTGCGCCGAGCTTAACCTCAGGGGCACGATGGAAAGGTGGAGTCGGTGCAGTGCATTGCACCGACAGGCTTGCTGCGACAACGCCAGGGAAGGAAGTAAAGTTCCACGCTCCGTCGGGGATTCCAATCGACCGTCGAGGTGCATGAATATTGATGGAAGGAATTAGACGAAGAAAGGGTCAGTCTAGCCATTCAGTAGTAGTATCGGTAGGGCACAGCACCGCCTGGTAAAAGCGGGGTTTTTTTTCGAGGAGAAAGCGAGACTTCGAGAGAGCGAGGGAGGGTAAGATGCCATCGGCGGAGAACAATGTGTCAAGGAGCCCTAAGACCGGTTGGGTTAATTCACCTGCAGCCTTCTGCATGGGTATAAACCAATGCTCTGCATTATTGGGCAGGCCAAGTGTCGACACGACCCACCGACACCCAAGGATCGGAAACAGAACGTGGACTGTACCTCATGGGTACATGACTGACGGTCATCAATACCTTGCTCTTACGTAGTATGGTACATAAGTATGGTACATGGCTGCTAGCGAGTTTCACGCTGTGCGTGAGACTCTGAGTCTCAAAGAACCCAAGAACCTCATCCCACATGGTTAGCTCCAATTTTCGGTCTCCTTCTAAAAGAGTCTTCCTATCCCGTTTGTAGTGGCAACCTGAAGCAGGGTTTCCCTCGCCATTTGACGCGCCTGGACGGGTTTCTCTTCCCCGAACAATTCTATTACGTAGTGTGACCACCAGCCTTGTCCATACCATGGATCGATCCCTTATCATCAGTGATCGGGATTTGTACGTACTCGGTTCCCTCCATGGAATGTAACCTTGGGGTAATATTCAGGTTCTCGCTACGTTCCCGAACCAGAGGAAGGTTGCCGACCAGGTGTCAATTCACCTTGGTTGGCTAAGTTTGACGAGCATTGTAGGGCACAAGTAACAACCTTGAAGACAGCAGACCGCACTGGCAGGCAGACAGGCAGACAGGCAAACAGTACTGTACGACTCAGTTGCCTCCGACTAACCAGGTAAGTGACCACGACCGACCGCGTACCTTACAGACCTCCTCGTATGCGGGCAGGGGTTGTCAGCATTATGGCTGCATGGCTGCATGGCTGCATGGCATTAAACTTTGAGCTGGAGTAAAACTAACCCGGGAATGGAAGCCTTTCCTCCCGCTAACGCAACCACTTCCCACGATAGGAGGAGCTGATCAACCATCCTGGTCGGGTCGCTCGGTCAGATTGAAATGTGCGGCCTGAGTTGTTTTGACTTTTTATTGCCCCTGTGCACCCTAACTCTAAACAGATGGTGGCCGCTGTCAAGTTAGCATGCGGTCGTCTACCGAGCATTACATTTCGCACCACAACATGTTTGGAGCGATCTTTTGGCCGACAACAACCTAGCATCGTTAGCAGTGAGTACTACGAGATGTTCTATTGAAAAAGCTAGGCTGCAAGAACATGTACATGTACACGTACCGTACAAAGTATTTTCGTCAGTCGGAACCCAAACAAGTAAGATGTGTGACACTAGCCTGCTGGACCCAGTCTCTCTCTTGCAGTCTAATATTAATGGATATTAATGGCTCTATGCTCGCTAGTCTCCTCCTCCCCCCATTGTGGAATCTAGATCGTTCCCCATCACAATGTGCATTGACCATTGTTGACTGAACAAGGCTCTCGCGTACGACTCTGCAGCAACATGCTTACCTTCGCGATGTACCCCTCCTACGTAATCATCCAAGGCAGTCTCGTAAAAATGGAGCCCATTGAAATCGCAGCGCGAAGCAAGGGGTAAATCACTTGTCATGTTGACTGCTTACTGCTACTGCTGGCTCAGCTGTAAGCGTGCGTAGGATGTCTATCTTCGCTGTTCGGTACTGGCCGCGTCTAATACCTGCCGCGCTGCTGCTGATCGACACTGAACTCGGAGGGAGTTTCCACGGTACGAACCTTCACCCTCAACATCGTGTTTCCTTTTTCATTCCGGCAACGGAGGTCAGCCCTGGCCTTTTAGCCTGAGTGAGCTTTTGCGCGATTGAGTATTGATTGACAGAGCCCCTTCACGGTCTTGGTGCAGATAGTGGAGGCAAATAGCTGACGATCATCTTCAAAGTGTTGGTGCTCTGCAAAACCCGGTAGATGGATGGACCTGCGGATGAATAGGATTTTTTTGAGTTTTGAGTTTTGTGCCGAAAGCTCGCGATAGAACAATTGATTAACCTTATTATTACTGTCTTGTTGTCGCCGGCAACCCATTTTCTTTCCACCCACGGTTTCACGGCATTTCATGCTGCCCGTCACCTCGTGCGGCGGTCCCTGTTTTGGTGGTGTTTCTTGTCGCATCCTTGCCAGTTTGCGACTTTGCTCACCCATCAAGCGATAGTCATTGCACTATGTCTTTTAGAGCATGTCCGGCTTTGGACCTGATACGTAGACTGTCGCAGTCGTCAGGCACTACGGAGTACCTACCTGCCAACCTGGGGAGTACGACTATATTTGGCGACCAGCGACGGGGGCCTACACAGTACGTCTTCAACACTGACCACCTTCCATCGCCAATTCCACATCCACATCCGCATTCCATCCACATCCAATTTCCTTCCCGCGTGGTTAAGGTTAAAACATGTCCACAATTCCTCGCCAACCGAAAAAAACCAGCGAAATGTGTCGTCATCCCGGGCACCGCTCGCATTCTTCCCGTTCGGCTATGAGCCTGTGGCACACGCTAGACTAAACGCCATTGACGCCCGTTCGTGGAAGTTTCCATCGAAGCTCGCGTTGAGGTTATCGGTTAATCTTGCCGACGGGATCTTGATTCTCCTTTACCCCTTTTTCCACCCCTCCTTCATGTTATTATCATTACTCCTACTTTTGACATATCCACGCCAATTAGGCTGCTGCTACGGAGTACTCTTCCTACCTTTTCCCGGACTTGTAAGATTCTGCCTTGAAACAGGCAGATCTCGTTGCTTTTTGTCTACGATATGCACCAGTTGCAGCGACTAGTATACGGCTCCCGGGACGCTAATGGATCTGCAACTACCTGAAAAGACAAGACTCTGAGAAGCAAAGATGATCGCCATCTGCAAAACGCAAACTGTGCCGCAACTGCAGTAGTAGTCTGGCAACGACACTGCTAAGTGAGGCATATCTTGCAGTTGGAGAACGCGGCAGGTACCGGAGTAGAGTGGATGGAGAGACAAAACACACAGGATCATGTCGAGGATTTGGACTCGCCATCAGGAGCGAGTTTCTCGTATTCGGAGATTCTTATCCTTGACAAACTTCTGACTGAGCCTGTTATGCCTCTGTAACAACCCAGGATTCACCAAGAACCCTAAAGGATGCAAATTAATGCCAATGATCCTGCTAAGGCTCGAATCCAGAGTAAGAACTATAGCACGTTGGCCAGGTACAGTACTGTACATACAGTGCAGGGTGCATGGTGTATTGAAAGGATTGCGTTTCTATTTTCTTCCCCCGCTGCTTACATCTCATTTGTGATACGTATTTACGGAGACAATGAAGCCACCAAACCAGCGGATGACAGTCTAATAAGAATACGCCGGGGAGGCGAAAACGGGCTTATTCTCGGCCAGCAAGGATTTCTCGCAGGATTCCTCGCTATTGTCAATATCGAATCCCACCATTTAATTCTCGTTTACCACCACTTTCCGACTGGCATCTCTCGTGCTCAATTGGCCACATTCACCCCTACCAAGGGATTGCGTACGTCAATGTCACTTGACCATCGTTGTCCAAACGAGGCGGAGTGACATGACAGGAAAATGATTTAGCAGCCAGCTTCTCAACCTGGGGCGATCATGCGATAAGAGCACGAAGCGTTGATGCCAACGACGAGGGACAGGGAAGGGAGCCTTCGCCTGTGCGTCCGTCCCTCTGAAAATGGCCCAGCAAATCCACTGTTTCCTCCAGCATCCAAACGGTCAATTGGTTCCCCATGCAAACCAATCAGTGAGGGAGAGTCTGGGCTTTGCGTGATGTCGGCAGGAACAGGGCTCGGCGACAGGGCAAACCCCGGCTACTCATAGGCTCCGTCTCAAACGTGCGTGCGTGCGTGCGTGCGCCCGCGGGTCTCGGACTCCCAAGATCTCACTTTCTCCGATCTCACTCTCGGTGCGATAGTGCGGTGCTATAGTGCTATAGTGCTATATCAATCTTCACTATAGATGGGGTTTTCAGCTCAGCTCTTTTGCCCCCGCCTCTCTTCCATTTTGAACCCTTTCTCCGTGCTTCTGATTTGACCGCACCCCTCTGTGTTCAGACGCTGCTTTCCCTTCTCAACCTCGAATCATCATCCGTTGTGCGCTTGCAACTGTGCCAACCATGGCCGCCTGACGTTATATGATCTTCGTGATCCCTGAACTATCGATGGCTTTTGGGTTGGGTCTGAAACTTCCGTCGCCTGTGCAGCAGCCTCTTAAGCGCGATAGTGAGATTGAGTGGCTGCGATCCTGCACGGACTTTTTCTCCCTCTTCCCTCTTCTCAGTGCCATTGCCTCATACCCACTTTGTGACGGCCACGAATGACAATTCGGGGTGTGGTCCCGACGGCGCACTCTTCCACGAGCTGGCTGGATTTAGTGTTCTCGATGGATTTGTGATACATCACGACATGTCCCCACAAAGTCCACTCTAGTACTCCGTACTGTGTACTGAAGATTGACTCGAGCAGCACGGGAGGGGCGGGTGTGACTCAGTGCTGTTCAGCAACCGACGGTTTTGTCGAGCTTGATGCCATCGCTCCATATGACATGAACCGGGGTTCTCGTGTCCCGACTGCTATGTGCTCAAACCATCTCTTACCTTCCGAGGCTTGATTACTTATTCAAGGTTGTCGTGCCTTTGACCAGGCATCGCAGAGGATGTTCTACAGGAAGAATGTCGCTCATCCATCTCTTCAGCCATTCGCTCCAGCTGACGGCAGTCTCGATCATCGGGTTTATACTCCGATCCAGCCAGAACGGCGGTGTGATTGCTGCACGATACGTGATCTGATGTGTTCCAGGATGGCGGGGTTTCATTCCACCATGACAGTACTGCAGGGCGTGCAAAGCAGGCACGTTGCTGTTCTCGACGTGCTCTTCCACTTCGTAAGCCAGGGGTATGCTACACGAAGATAACTTCGTACCTGCATACGACGTGCCGGAAGAACAGCATCCAGGTTCATGCTTCGATAGCTCCTGTTGAATCTGACCTTGGAGTAGGGTCATCGGCGTTTCCTCCCACATACGGACTGCAAGAACGCCCAGGTGCATATCACGTCTCACAAGCACATACCTGATCACGAAATGCATCACGTAGTGAGTACAGGACTGCACGGCTACATCGTTCGTGCCACGAAAGATCCGGTACATCTACGGTAGGATTGAGTCGGGTCACACAGTACCAGAGACAAGAATATCGGGCATATACAACCTCAGACGGAGTACTACGAAAGTACAAGAATAAAAACAACCAGACCATAGAATGGTCCAGAATCCTGGAGACGAAGGACATTGCAAACAAGTTATTATTCATTCCAATTTGAGCTATGCTAACCAATTCAACATATCCAGTCGAGTCAGAGAAGAAATCTATCTGAAATGAGAATTAGCACGTTGTGTCCAAGTCCCAAAACGGCAGAGAAACAGCGATAAGGTTGGTATTGGGATCAGAAGTCCAGTTAGATCATCGAGAATAGACCCAGAGACCGGGTAAGGTCCCCAAATCTACCTCTGACATAAGAGGTACCAGAAAATAAATAAAGTAAGGTGTGTTTCATCATTGTGAAAGGCGAAGATTTGCACGGGGTGAGTTCATGGGCAGTACTAACCTGATGAGCAAACACCGAGGGAGAGTCGCGTTGCTGCGAATGACAGTACACGAAGTCTGTCCCTCGGATGATTTTTTCTTTTGATTAAGAAGAGAGAAGCAACATAAGCTCATCCACATCTTCAACCCAAAGGGTGAGGGCGTTGTCGGTGTCGTTGTCAAAACAAAAGTCAAGGTATAACCCAACAGTAGCAGAAAAGAAACAACAAAAAAAAAAAAACTTTCAAGCCAAGAATAAAAAGGAAGGCGCCCGACCCTCCCGCCAAATAAGCGAACTTTTTTCTGCCTGTATCACATGACCATACCCACAAACCCACGAAATTGAAGGTCATGTGACCCACGATCCCAGAATTCTGACCCCAGCGGATTCATATTTGATCCCTCGACAACCACCACCAGCCGCTTTTTGCGTCCCGACCAGAACAACACCACCCTTCGACAACCAACCCACCCTCCCCTTCACCACACAAACAAAATGGGTCGTCTTCACTCCAAGGGAAAGGGCATTGCGTCCTCCGCTCTCCCCTACAGCCGTGCTCCCCCGGCCTGGTTCAAGGCCTCCTCCGAGCAGGTTGTTGAGCAGATCTGCAAGCTCGCCAAGAAGGGTGCCACCCCTTCCCAGATCGGTGTTGTTCTCCGTGACAGCCACGGTGTTGCCCAGGTTAAGCACGTTACCGGTATGTTGTCTTTGATGATGAAAAGGGGGTTGCAGAGTTTTTTGCTAACAAGGAGGGAAACAGGTAACAAGATCCTCCGTATCTTGAAGTCCAACGGTACGACCATCACCATTCTGCGTTCCGGAACCCCAGTTGCACCAGTACCTTGAGATTTGTTGGAAGTTGAATTGGAAGATGGATTGGCTGGGAGGGAGCGAGAGGAAGTCATGCGCCGGGATTGAAACACATCCACATTGGTTCGACAGCGTGGACGGATGGGCGCTGGTCGCTTTCGCATCTTCACTCCCGTCTACCTATAGACGGTAGCGGGAGGAAGACACGAAGGAAAAAAAAGACGCAGGTTGAAACGACACCGCACCGTCTTGAGGGAGGGGAGGGGAAGAATCGAAAGAACATTCCCCTCCCCGACACTAGCACCACCATCGCATCCTCAACTCCCGCACACCACTCCCATCAACAACTTCAATTTCAACATCTCTCCACGATCTCAAAACACTGGAGGGAAGGGAAATTTCGACCCAGCAAGAAAGAAAAACCCATGGTCCAATTCACTTTGCGCACTATGGTGTTTGCTTCGCTGGGTCGCTTCCCAAAAACCCCGTATTGCCTCTGCTTGGTCAAAACCTAGGCTGACAGAGTGATTTTCCCCAAAACAGGCCTTGCCCCCGAGCTTCCCGAGGACCTGTACCACCTCATCAAGAAGGTATGTTTCTTTATTCTCCGAAAACGGACAAAAAAATCAAACTAATGATGAATAAGGCCGTCGCCGTCCGCAAGCACCTTGAGCGTAACCGCAAGGACAAGGACAGCAAGTTCCGCCTGATTCTCATCGAGTCCCGTATCCACCGTCTGTCCCGCTACTACAAGACCGTCGGTGTCCTCCCCCCCACCTGGCGCTACGAGTCCGCCACCGCCTCCACCCTCGTTGCCTAAGCGACTTGACGTCGTTGGGTCCCCTGGGTTTCGGGTTCTGGTGTGGTTGTGACTTGGCCTTCGTGGTTGGTTCTTGTCTTCTGTTTTTCCCTTGTGTGTGATCTGGAAAGGGTTTCGATAGGGAAAAATGGGATCTATGATCTGGCTATGATCAAGTCATGAATATCAAAATTTCTTCACGACCACTTCTGGTCTTTTTTGTAGAACGTAGATTGTTCTCTCGAACGTAGTGTGTGTACCTGTCCAAATGGGCTGTGCAAAACTGAACCAGGTTCATCCAACATCTATACATTCTATGCATGCACCACTCAAAATCAACATGTCAACGCCAACAAAGCTTACCCCCCAAAGCCAAACCCTGGTATACCATCAAGACCCAGCAACCCTCACCTCCCGCGCAACCGCATTACACAACTCGACCCTCACCCCGGCCCCGGAAAGCACATGAATCCACAACCGCTGCGTATCGCTCAACCGATCATTCTCCGACTTGACCTCCACGAACATCACCTCCCCGAACCGCCCTTTCTGCTCAGCTAACTTCCCAGCCTGCCGGCCCTCTTCACCCGCGTCAGCACCAGCAGCACCACCACCACCCCCTGTTCCCGGCTGTTCCGCGTCGTCAAAAACCCTCCAAACCAACAGATCCGGCACCCCGCCACCCCGTACCGAATACTCCTGCGCGAGCACCTTGCAGATAGCCGCGAGGGCCTCGCCCGGAAAGCACCGCACCAGCTCGACGAGGTCGTCGAGAGCGAAGGACCAGTCCAGGCCGACGGCGCAGGTCTGCGTGGGGGATTCGCGGGCGTGGACGGCGCGGAGGAGGCGCTCGGCGGCGCCGGGAGTGGTGAGCTCGGCGAGGCGGTGGTTGATCTCGCTGGCGCGGGTGGGGTAGAAGGCGTCGGTGTGGAGGTCGAGCGGGGAGGTCTGGAAGGGGGTCTGGAAGACGTTGGGGACGTAGGTGGTGAAGAGGATGTCGTAGAAGAGGTAGCTGAACTTTTCACCGCCAAAATCAATCAAAGGTTAGTTGGTGGGTGTTTCGGGTATAGGGTCGGTTCGGGTCGGGAACATACCAAGGTTCTGACGATGCCTCCTTCGGAGTGATAGCCTTTCCACCCTTGTTCCCGGTACCAGTTCAGACACATGGTCTCGACGCGGCATTCGCCGCCTTCGCGCTCGTCGACCCAGACGGTCGGACGGCCGCGGCGGGTGCTGTTACTGTGATTGCTACTGTTGCCGTTGGCGGCGGACGGCGAGTCGGCAGTCTCCCAAACAGACGCCGGCTCCGGCTCGACGATCTGGATGCCCGCGATGGTGCGCTCGGCGGGCTTCGCCAGCCGGACGTGCCCGAAATCATGCTGCTCGCGCTTCACGATCTTCAACGCTCGCTCGAGCTTCATGATGCGTTTCTGCAGGTCGTAGTGGAAGATCAGGTGGCAGTTGGGGTCCTCAAGCCCCGTCTCGCACGTCCGCAGCGCGACCCGCCGCCAGTGTTTCCGCTGCGCGTCCTCGCTGCGCCCCTCGAAGGGGGTCAGGGCCCACATGTAGTGCTCCTCCAGCAGCGCCTTGCGCTGATACCAGGCCCCGCGGCGCGCGGCGTGGAATAGCCGCTGGTCGAGAAGCTCCGTCAGCAGCCGGTGCTCCTCCTGGTGTTCCTTGAAGCGTCCGAGCGGGTGCAGACCCTTGTGGATGATCCGCGTGTAGACCCAGGCGGGCGAGAACCGGCGGAGGTACGCCCCCTCGCCGTATTCGTAGATGGTTTCCTCCTTGCGCTGCTCCTCCGCCAGCAGGGCCCGCCACCGGGGGTAGACCTTGTAGGCGAGGTCTTTGATCCGGGTCAGGTGTTCCACCGTGGGGGTGCCGCTGAACTCGAGAATGTTGTCGATCTGGAACTGCGTGCGCAGGGCGATCTCGAACTCGAGCAGGAACGCTCGGGTCGGGAAGATGGAGCTGGACCGGCACACGATATACTCCGGGAACTTCTTGCGGGAGATCTTGGCGAGGATGATGGTCGTAAGTGACTTTTCGGTCCATTCGGTGGAGCGGTAGAAGACCAGATGAACGCGCTCGAACAAGGCGAGTGGACCTGCTGATAGCCGGATGCAGTCGCCCGTGTAATCGAAAATCTTCTGCATGAAGTGATCGTCTCGATTGAGACCGTTGGATACTGCAGTGGCTGGTTTACTGTTCCAGCCCAGACCGGTCTGTTTCTGACTGGATCGGTGCAGAGCGGCAATGAGTTCATTCTTACTCTTGCCCTGCACCTTGGCTTCCTTGGCGAGCATCTTCAGCTCATCAAGAAGTAGCAAGGACGAGGCCTCTTCGAGGGTGGTTATCTGATCCATGTGCTCGGCGAACCTAAACTCGCCCGTCAAGCGTAGCGAAGGCGCTGGGTCGATATCCGCGGGGTTTTCACCCGTGGACAACGGGCAGGAAGAGGTGGGAAGACAGCGAGGATGTCGCAGCGAGGTCACCACCCGGGGCATGTCTGCGATATCCGAGTAGTAGCCCAGCCGGTTGATGCGATGCCAGGCGGACGTCTTCCGAAGGAAGAGGCGCACGTACCTACAGGAATCACATTAGGCACTACCAAGATGCTGGTGGAAAAAATGGAACTCACAAGTACTGAGCCTCGTAGTCCAGCTCCTGCCATTGTTTAAAGACCTCCATCTCCACCTCGTCGAACAGATGCGCCTCCTCATCCAGCACAGTCTCCAGCGCCAGATTGAACGCATCTACGTAGATGGAGCTTCGCCCCTTGCGCCACTTGCCATCCTGCAGCCTCTGGTGGAGGTCGGGCTCGTCCTGGCTTGCCAATCGCGCAGCCTCGTATTCCTCGATTGCCTGGCTATCATCCTGAACGGCCGGCAGGGACGATTCCAGCTCCGTTTGGCTATTCGACACCGGGAAGTCGGTATCATGTTCAGTTCCGGACTCGGCTATGATAGGATAAGAGTCAACCCGGTCGAGGGTTGGTACCGCGGAGTCTTTCGACAGCGGGGCATCGGGCGACGACGACGTCGATTCAGGAGTGTTGTTCGAATCACCTCCCGCAATTTTTATAGTCGGGGTGGCGGGCTTATCGTCAGCGGCGGTCTTTCTGCGCTTCGCATTCGGACGCTGGGTATCCCAGTAGTCCAGCAGGGACATACTGCCGGAGAGATACAAGCATCGATCTCGCTTGCCCTTAACGCATGGCCCGCGAGGCCGTGTCTCCGTGGTAAATGAATCTGAGGTTTTGCACTGCTTCACTTGCGAGGGAAGGAAAAAGCGTGACGCGAGCCGACACGAAGTCACATGATCCATATGTCCCGAAGCGGACAGACATCAGTCTGCACAGTTTGCACAGTTTGCACAGTTTGCAAAGCAGCGCGGCCGCCCGTCGGCGTCGGCGCAAGTTGATCGCATCTTCAGCTGAAATCCATCTTGTTCAGCACTCAGTCAGACCATTTCATCTGCTTTGCCACACTCTGCATACATAACTTCCAATAGAATAAACACAAAAGAGCAATAAACACAGATCTCTCCCCCCTTGCTTAATCAATACCTCACAATGACCGACTCCAACCCAGTAAGGAACTCCTCTCCGAGACGGAACTATGGAATGATGGCAATCCAAACCCCACACCGGCGGAGCCCATGATGGGAGAGACAATTGCAAGCTCAGTAGCTCCGCTTTCTCTCAATTCCCTTCAGCCAATATTTTTTTAATTTTCCCTTTCGGCAACTCTATTGTACAATCCTGCCTCCATCAACTTGATTTCTTCCTTTTCTGTTTGAGCAACAAATTGGGAATCATAATCCCCTAACCTCACCAGTTCCCCGCAAACGGTTCTTCCGCGACCGACCCTGCAGCTTCAGCTTCAGCTCCAGCTCCAACAGCAGAAGGAGAAGCAGCGATAGCCACTCCTACTCCTCAACCACAGGACCAGCAACAAGACCAAGACCAAGCCCAACAGCAACAACCTCAGTCTCAACCCCCCAATCCCCTACCAGCAACAATGGCCGCCGACTCAACCTCCGCCAACACCCCGACCGCAGACTCCGCCGCCGCGACACCCACCAACACCACCGCCGCCGCTGCCGCCGCAGCAACAACAGCCACCGCCAACGGCTCCCAAATCCGACCGGGCGGTGCTCCTGCCCGCGTCTACATGAACGAGAAGATCGTACCGTATCTGCTCGAAGGGATGAAGAGCGTCGCGAAGGAACAGTACGTATTTCCCCCCTCCCTTGGGCCAACGCAATCGAAGAGGAAGAGGAAGAAGTATAAAACAAAAGCTGACACTCAACAAACCAGGCCCCCGAATCCCCTCCGCGTACTCGGCGAATTCCTGATTCAGAAAAGTAACGAGCTCGAGCAAGGGGGCGCTACAGCAGCAGCAGCAGCAGCAGCAACGAAAACGCCGGAGTAAGGAACTCTACTCCAGCAAATACAATAACCAGGCGATATGAGATAATGCGCACATATGATCGTTTTGGATTTATACAGCTGGACCCATAAAGAAAACAAAGTGCGTTCGGCGTGTAATGCGAATTTATGATGAGACGATATGATCTAGACACAAAAATGGGAGCGCGAGAACACATGATATGATGCCCATTGAGATAATATCTAGAAGGTTTGGGGTTTTCACTGTGCTGGCTGTGCTGGTGAACTTCTGGGGAAAAGGTCCCTTGGTGGGTAGCTTGAGGCCTTGAGTTGGCTCATCGCTCAAGAGTGTGAAGAAACACAGGCACTTGGGGAGAGTTCTGCTTCATCGTGCTCAGGAAAGGTGCATTGTCAAGATTGTGAGGTGTTGGCCTTCATTTCGAGCTGCTCCAGGGTCGCCAGAGGGCCCTGCTCTGCTCTCACCTGGCGCAGGAGAGAGCACTGCAACCAAGACTCCAGGTCGAGCTGCATTTGGCCGCGGACGATTCCCAGGCTTGAGGCTCCCTGCTGCGGATGTATAGTACATATAGTCTTGGAGATCTAGCGTTAATGACCGATAGCTACGTTTGTCACCATGGGTAGGTCGCACAAGGGATCGGTAGAACTACCAGGACTCCCATGTAGAACGAGCATCACTGCAATGCGCATAGAATGTAAAGAGCTGGCTTCATCACCGAGACAACCGTTAATTCCACTAAAATCGAACTACCTATGACTAGATGTACCCAAAGCCGTACCATATGACCTGCAGTTAGCAAACTGGGATTGGACCCGCAGCAATCATGATGCTCTCTGAGTCACCCCCGTGATGCAAGGAGTTGGGCCTGTCGGTCGGTCGGTCGGTCGGTTAATTCTCAGCCAGGCAAGGTGAGCCGGGGGTCCAGCTCAGATTTCCCCTTTAGATCAGTTCTGGTGCTATAATAATCAATAATAACAATACTCCAGATCAAAACAAAGAACCTACCGTGCCGAATCTTCCCAGGCTGTGCGTCGCAAGAGGTAGCCTTGTGAATTGGGGTCGTATTTACGGGAATCTCTTCTCAGGCCGAGCATTAAAGGTATCTGCACAGACAGAAGATGCTCTGCAGTGTTTGCTGTCTTCCGTGGCTATACTACAACGCAGAGCAGTACACCCACGCAGACATGACGGTCGCAGAGAAGCCACCGTCGCAAGACTGTTTCCGCATTTCTTGCACTGCAGAATTTGCTCGGTCGCGGGTCCAGAGGAAACCTCTCCCAGGGCGCGACGAACAACCTGGAGCAGATCATTTAATGGTAGAAGCTTTTTCTTTTCTTTTCTGGCCGCATACAATCGAAGAAGTCGTTACGTGTAAAGAGAGTTGTATAAGACGCAATAGACGCAAAATAGGCGAACAGCTGACTGAAGACTGAAGACTGACTGAAGACTGACTGACTGACTAGTAGCGAGATAACGACCAAGTTTCCGGAAGGGCTGAGGAGTGAAATGTAGCAGTGCTGATCCATCTGACAATCCGAGGAATTACAACGTTATTGTGTGTAAAGATCTTGTTCTGTTCTCTTTTTCTCCCTTGCCGCCATGCTTTTTTCACCGGTAGTTGCGCGAGCGAATTAACAAAAGAAAACATCAGTAAGTGTGACCGAGGAGCGACGAAACCACAGAGAATTCTGTTCTTGCTGTCCACGAGAATGATTTTCTGGTCTTTCTCTCAACTTTTCTTTTCACACGCTTAGTCTGGCGGTCGAATAGGCCGACGATGTTCGATGGCGCTCCGAATTCGCCCGAGGCTGACATGTGAACGTGATGATTCCCTTGGCTTATATTGCTTTCCTGGTATAAGACAACACAGAGACGTCCCTATCGTGGCCCTTCGAGCCCATTTCCATTCATCCAGGGGTATTAAAAGAAAAAAGGGGGGAACCATTCCAAGGAACAGGGGTAAGTGACGGGGATGGTGACTTGAAACAAGGGGTGTGGTAAGGTGTAAAGAGGAAAAGAGTGAAAGGAAACGAGGAAGAAGACCTAGATAGGCCTGGGAGGGAGAACGTGGCATGACCTCGATTCAACCACCCATGTCTGATCAGTCCACCTACCTGGTGCTGTAACGGTCATCGCCGCCACGGGGTTCGTAAGAGCGACCACCGCTGCCGCTGCCACCACCACCACCGCTACCACCACCACCGGCATAGGGCTCACGGGCAGGGGGAGCAGATCCATAGCTGGGAGGGTTGGCATCGCGATCGTAGTAACCACGGCGATCCTCACCACCGCCGCCGCCGCCGCCACCACCGCCACGACGCTCCTCCCCACCGCGGCGCTCATCGCGGCTGTAACGGTCCTCACGACCACCGCCCGAAGCATAACGGTCGATGCCACCACCGCCACCGCCACCACCACCACCGCGGTAACCATAATCATCACGGTAGTCACGGCGACCGTAGTCGCGGTAATCACGACCACCGCCGTAGTCACGGCGGTCACTGTAGGAATCATAGCGGCCATAGCGGTAATCGTCGCCGCCACGACGCCAGCTGCCACCGTAGCCACCCCCACGGCGGTCATCATAGCGGTCACCACGGCCACGGGGACCTCCACGGAAGTCTTCTATAGTCAGTATTAGATGTTCAGTTCTTCACACGTAAAGTAAGGAAACTCGAAGCATACCACGCTTGGGGGGACCGAAGTATTTGCCAGGGGTAGGGGTTCTGGGACGGCTACGACGAGCCTTCTCGATGCTCAGGGTACGTCCCTCAATGACCTCACCCTGGAGACCCTCCTTGGCGGCATCAGCCTGCTCGGCGGTGACCATCTTGACGAAGCCGAAGCCACGAGACTCCTTGGTGTGAGGGTCGACCATGATCGAGCAGTTCTCGACGTCACCATACTTCTCGAAGAGACGCGAAATGTCCGACTCGGTCAGACGGGGGTGGATGCCGGTGACGAAGAGGTTAGATCCAGTGTTAAGGGCGCCTTCTTCATCGTCATCCAAAGGAGGCTTGCGGGTATCAACAGGGGGGCTAAGCATGTGATGGTCTCGAGGTCAGCTGGTTGCCCAAGGGGGAAATATCGCCACCCGTGGGTGACGGTGATGCAGGCTGCTTCCTGGAAGCTCTTGTCTGGGGTAAACGCACCGGTCATCGACGCGTCCGTTGGGAGAACGGCTGCGGGTGCGGTCGCCGCGCGGCTCATCGCGAGGAGATGCGCTGCGGTCGCGGGTGAAGCGAGGTTCGTCTATTCAGTTGCGAAGAGAAAAGCCAGCATCGCGAATTAGCCGTGTGATTGCGTAGTTACCCGGACGATCAGCAGCCCGGGCTGTGAAGGCGATAGCTTTGACATACCGTCGTAGCGACCGTTCTCGTGATCGTACTCTGTAGCCATGATGATGGTTTTCGAGAAGAGACAGGGAGAAAAATTGGCAGCGGTTGAATGGGTCGAGGAGAGCGCGCGCGACGCTGAGAATTAGGAATGGGAAGCTGAAAAATTCAACGACCGATTACGATTGCGTTCACACACGGGCAGAGAAGAAACTCAAAAGATGAGTTTGTTTCTGAGATCCGTGAAAAGAACTGGAAGTGAAGAAAGGGAAAAGGGAAGAAAGGGAGAAGGAAGGAGGATGGAAAGGAATTCCCGGAGTGATGATGATGAAAGAAGGGGGAGGAAACCGGGAAAGAGAGAAGAGAGAGAGAGAGAAAGCTGAGAGAGCCAGCCCGGGAGACAGAGAGACGACAGGTTCGTCTCCATCCAGTCTGGCCCGCCAGCGGCTCTGCGCCAAGCCAATCTTTCAATTCACCCTTCCTCGGTGTGCTTTACACCTTATACTAATTACAGCGCAAGCAAACAAACAAATTCAACACTCAATATTTGGAACACAGATATTTTCACCAAAGATACCAAATATTCACTCAATTAAAATATTCATACACTCAACGCCCATTCATTACGCGATGCTGGCGATCTACGGCCCAAAAATGCCATTCCCCAATGGCCATGAAGGCATGCCTAACGCCCATCCCTTCCCAGTTGGCTAAACAACTGTCAACAAGAAAAGCAAAAAAGCAAACACACGGACACAAATAGAGGCGAATAAATGGCGATGTAGGGAAGAAGAAACAAAGGAATAATCCCTATTACCTTGTTCTTTCTTACTTGAACCCACGCCAGCGTCGTCGCGTCCGATGAGTCTTGACATGCTGCTGGAGAGAAGCACCTTTTCCATCCGAAGTCTCCATTGATGAGTTGGCCACTTGTCCCTCCAGCTCATCCTCCTCTACCAGATCTTTCAGTTCGTCCTCATCTAGTTCGCTTAGTTCCTCACTCATTCCCCGCATAACGTCCCGTCCCGTCCAGCGCTCCTCATGGATGGTGGTCCCTATAGGATCAAATGGCTGCATATACCATTGGATGCCTCCCTGAGTCAAGGGATGTTGCTGATCACCTGTAAAGCTGTGAGGCGGGGTGCGTGACTGATTCTGAGCGTCGGGCGGTGGGCCTTCACGTTTCGAACTGTCTAGGTCGGTCTTCTCGACCGGTCCATTCACAGCTGGCTCAACTCCTTCCATGGTGGGCTGTGTAGTTGTTGGTGCATCCTCACCGGTCTGGATCTCCGTCTCCTGCACCGCAGTGGTAGGCGTGGATTCTGAGTTGGGTACTGGAAGGGCGGACGATTCAGTAGACTCTTCAGCAGACAGCGACACTTCTGCATTGAGCTCGACAGCTGCGTCGGCCTTCTCAGGTACTGCGGCGATGTCGGTCCCTTCATCGATCTCCATCTTAGCAGTAACATCTTCAACCCGTGGCTCCGCGATTTGACTCAGATCTTGAGGTTGATCTGCTTTGTCGGTTGCGCTCTGCTCCGCAGAGTCGACCTCGGACCCTCTCCGAGACATGACGCTATTTTCTAGCATGAGATCGAGCTCCTTCAGTTCTTGCTCGAAAGGCTTGCGGTTCAGTTCGCTCTCTTTCCTTATAGCATCTTCCAGTGCCGGTTGAATAGCTTTTATAATGCGCTTAGCCAATTTTCTCTTCTCACGCTGTTCGAGACTGAGTTCGGGGGCACGGCCGCTGATCTGCATCTGTAGCTCTGCAGTGTCCCCAGCTGGCTGAACACCAATCTCCGTGGTGAATTCCCGGGCAAGGTCGGCAGAGAAAGATGCCACCGACGAGTAGTAGCGTTCTTGGAGCTTTGCACGGATAGAGGACAGTCCTTTCTTGAAGATACCTTTGCCATCGAGCCTGCGAAGGACATTAGCAAAGGAAGAATTAGATGATGGAGCCAGCACAGCTGCTTACCCTTGAGCTTTCTCGAAGATAGGCCAGAGCAAAGGGAAGATAGGGAAGTAGACGGTGTCTACGATGCTCCGTAGAGTTTCCACATCCTTCAGCTTTTCTTGTTCTCGCCTTCTGACTTCGTCGCACAGCGTCCTCAATTTATCCAAATCGTAGCAAAGCCTCTGGCCAAAATCGATGCGCCGCTGAAGTCGCTTGCTGCCGGTCACCCCCATCGCAACATAATCTCTCCTGGTCATCTCCATCGATGAGAAGGTCTCCAACTGCAACTGCAGCCGTTTCAGAAGCGCAGCACCTCGTCTCGCTTCGCGTTTAAGGGTCCAGTATTTGCAGGCATCTTCAGCAAATTGCTTCCTCTGCCGTACTCCAAATCGTTGGAGCGAAGCGCCGACCGAGTTTAGGACGACCTGAGGAATCACCGGAGCTCCGGACGGTAGCTTCCAGATCGTTTTAGGTGCAGTCATTCGCTTGCGCTTGTTGCCACCGACAGTAAGCGTAATACGTGGTGTATGTGTCCGGTGCCCGTCGTCCTCTCCATGCTCCCCAATATGGGAGTGGGCGGGTTCCAACGAGAGCGCCGCTGCTTGGCTATCTCCCCAGCGGCGACCCTGCATGGTATTCCGATAGTACTCGATCGCATCGGCCGTGGCGGCATCGGTACCATGCTCCCTTCGCCATTCGGGCGGAACATGCTTATCACAGAAGGCCTTGAGGAGATGGGAGTCCATCACGGCCGGGGTACCATGGCCTGACTTCATTTTCAGATAGAGCTGGGCTCGTCGGGCGCACGTTACGTGGAACGCCAGGTAACAGTTCTTGTTGCTACACTGGATGGATGCACCCATCCTCTGGCGACAGATATAGCAATTGAGTTTCCATCGGCTTCGCGGCACTTTTTCGACGTCAGTAATCGGCTCCATCAAAGATGGGTTGCCGATCGAGACTTCCGGAATCCAGATAGCACACAGAAGATGGGACCATTTCGAGGTGGTCGTCTGTTTGAAGGCGCCCTCGGTGTTCGGACAGAAAATGCAGTTAACAGATCCCCGGCCTATGAGTTGACACTTGCGGCAAAGCCATTGTCCTTCGGGGATAAAAGGAACGCCATAGCACTCTTGATGCACCGCTAGGTCGCACCCATCGCAGAACACAATCGCATTCGAGTTCTCGCAGTCGCCGTCATCACAAATGGCACACTTGCTGTCCTGCTCTTCGCCGGGGGCAGTTTCCCCATTGACCGCGGCGGCGGAGCTCGAACGAGGGCGCTGCGTTTGCGGGGGCTTCGGGTTCGGTTTTGGGATACGCTTCTCCAGGGCATACCATTCCCGTTCAATCTTGGTCATTGTGATTTCAAAGACCGCCGGTTTTATTGGCTCCAGTTGATCTTCCCTCCGTTTCGCGTTGTAGTCTTCCAGCCACTTCTCATCCTGCTCGTCCATATCATACTCCACCCGGCCAACAGCCGCATTGACCTCCCCCTCTGAGGCAACGAGGTTGGTCAGATCTAGGTCATCTTCCTGCGCACACTCTGACATACGAACCAACCGCCGGTCATGCCGCAAAAAGAGGTCGCTCTCTTGATAGCCAACGCTAGCCATGGTACGGTCGACATAATTCTGCTGACCTACACCAGGTTGGTCATAGAAGGTAAATGGATCCCGCAGTCGGAATGTGGGCTTCGGGAGGGTCAGCCTTTCGCGCGGATTGGGACCAGGAGGAGGAACGGCTTTCGGTTGCGGCGAGATGCCCAGAGCATGGAGGATAGCTTCGGGACGACGAGGAGGGCGCCCGGGGCGGCGCTTGATTGGCGTCGGCGAAGTGCCATTGGTGTGCGCTCTAATGAGCTCCGCGATCGGATCCTTGTCGCTACTGTTATCCAGGCCGTTAGGCGATAGGATTTGAGCTATCGAAGCCGACGGTGGAGGGCCATCCACCTCTTCTGCACTGAAAACCGTGAACTTGGTGTCGATATCCAGGTCTGGATGAAACTCCTCCCAGCCGCGTTCCTCGCGTGGTTTGTACCCATCTCCTTGTTGTAACGCAAGTGCAGCCGCGGTCGATGAGCCGAAGCGGCCACGATTCTGGCTCTTTTCTCGTCTCAGACGCGCAGAAGGCGGCGTGGATGGTACAGGAGGTGGCGGCGGCGGCGGCGGCGGCGGAGGAGGAGGAGGCGGTAACTGTACGGGCTGAGGAGGCTCGGGTTCTAGAGCAGGAGCAGGAGCAGGAGCAGGGCGACTGCGGGAGCTTGAGGAATTGCGTCGAGCAGCTGGAGTGGTCTTTGGTTGTCTCGAAGCCGGCTCCTTCACTTCTAGTTCAATATAACGCCCTCCTCCACCGGGACCACCTGGAATATACTTCCGTTTCTTGAGGGGTGGGCCTTCCGAAGTGCTCGGATCCGAGCTCCGCGATGTCTTTAGGGTGACCTTGGTCTGGTTTCTCGAGGATCTACCAGGTGAGGAACGATATTTTGATGATGAGAGCGGCGCCATCTTCCCTGTTCGGTAGGGTCTGTGAGATTGGATGAAAAGCGGCGTGTGGTTGTTTGTTGATGGACCCTCGCCCGAGCTCGCCGCTCAGCCTCACCGTGTGTGGGTGTTTTGAGGGAGGGAATTGTCGTAGGAAATCACAACCAACTAAGTTAGACTGCGCCGTAAAGACGAATTATCACCACATCAGATAAGCCAGATAAGTTTAGCATGACTCATCGAAGAAAGGGGTTTCGAGTTGTAAGCACGTTAGGACGGGGAGGGCGACAAGCGAGGGGAAGACGCGCGACGACGACGACGACGACGACCGCGAAAGACACAAGCCAGCGAACAGCAGTGAATGAATGAATGTCACTCCCTCCCTCCCTCTTTCCGGGCTTATCAAGCCAAAGGCGGAGAGACAGACCCGCCTCTCCCTCTCCCGCGTAGGGGAACTGGAACCTCCGCCGCCGCCGCCCGTCCACGGTCCCCTTCCAGCTCCCCCGTCATTCCATCTTCCTCTCACAATAAATCACCACAATTCTACACGGTTCACTCCGTGCTGGAAGAAAACACAACTGCTATCTGATCGTGCTCGGTGATCGATCGGAGACAAGCATGAGTGGT